TTTTTGCTTTAAATTTTCACCTTAAAAATCACATAGTATGTATCAGGATTCTAAGTTTTTTAATATTCAATTCTCTGAGACTTCAAAGTAGAACCAGGAGTTGAACTCAGGATGCATTAAACTCTAAGCCAGCATCTCTTCTCTCTGAGCTACCAAGGCAGATGAACCACCTTCCTCTTAAAAGCTCTGACATACTTTAGATTAGAAACCCAGAATTGCATAAAATTCTTGATTTATACAATTCTGTGATAAATGTTTTCCAGGCACATTTATCTTTTTGTTTATAATTTTACAGTGAATGAAAAAAGACTATACTTCTGTTTTGAAGTATAAGTAAGTCTCATTTGAAAGCCAATCAAAATGACACTTCAGCCTGCCTCTCTTAGCAGATCTAACCTCTCAGTTTCTATAGTAACCTTGATAATAATGGAGGCTAGAATCCAATAAGTATCAGCAGGATTTGATCCTATAACCTTCTGATCCAGGTCTGGTTAACTGGACCTGGTTCTACAGCTGGTTCTGATGCTGGTCCCACTGCTCCACAGCTTCTTGTTAGGTTGGATCTTCTTCATCTCTACATCTTAAACTAGGAAGGTCCAACACTGTCAGTAGTTCTGGTTCTGATCAGCTGGGTTTTCTCTGCAGAGTCATTAAATACATGGAAATATCTGCAGATAGGTCTATTAATTTATCAATTAAAACATTTATTTTCAGCTGGTGGAAAAACAACTAAAAAGACATTTAGAAACATTGCAAAAACAGGAATATGTATCTGTATTCATAGTTTATAAATATCTGAGGGAGGGGCAGCATAAATACACATGAGGAAGAACCAGAACCAACAGGTTCCCAAATGTAACAGTTTTACATTTATATCCACACTAATCAGATCATTTTATTCTCAAACAGTTTATTGAAATGATTACAACAGTTAAAGCTTAATGCAGCTGAAGGAATAACATTAGTCCAGCTGTTCTGGGCTTTAATACTGCAAACATTCTGCTTTAATACTCAATAATGTAAAGTTAATTTACGGTATAATAAAGTTTAAAGTATAATTCACTGGAAGAACAAAACCGTTA